ATGGGCTCGCACACAGTCTGCACAACCGAATTGGCGCTCGCCGTGAGTCAGTGTAGCCCCACCATGACACGGCGCATTTGCGGCTTAGCCTGTTGCAAGGCAACATATTCCATCACGCGCACTGTTGACATTGATGGTTCCATTAAGAATTAATCTCCTCGCCTTAAACGATTTATCTTAAACTACCCGTCACGCAAGTTTTTAGGCGCGCTTCAAAACCAAAGGAGATTTTCAATGATTCCTACCTCCCTACTAGGGAATCCATTCATTAGTGGGAGCAGAATGTCCTACGCCTCACGATTCCGTGCGCGCTTGAGTGGGGATCGGTGTCCGATATTGATATTTAGCCAGTTTGTTGCAGTAAAAGTTTGAATTTCTAAGTGGACAACGGTGGGTTGTAGGACCCCTTAGGATAGATCGCTAGTCAGTGGTCCGTGTCTTACGGGAAGGGCGGTAACGGGGATTCTATGGATGAGGCAGCACGCGCCTGGGATGGAAGGTTAAATTCTAGGAAACACGGAAGGTAATGGTCGTTCTTACGGAATTCACTCGTTCCGCTGTGCCTTACGGGCTCTCTCTCGAGTCCAACCAGCAGCCGCACAGCGGCGCATGATATAGGCAGTATGTTCTTACCGACAAAGACAAGGGATACTGAAATGGCCATTTCTGGCTTATTAACCATTGCCAGTCAGTAATACCCAACCCCAAAATATGGAACACTCGAGGTTCGAACTCGCGACCTGTTAGTTATAAGTCCACGCTTCTAACCACCGGGCCACGAGCCCGTTGCCCTGTCGGTTTCGATCGGGCATATACAATGGTGGGGGGCGCTCACCGAAGGTAATTGAATTTCGGTCGTGGCACTTGACGTGCGCTGCTGTATAGCAACTTAGAGTTAGCGCGGGAATCAAAAAATAAGCAAAAGTAATTTTTGAAAATGTTGGAATTTGAATGAGCCGCCGACCGTAATTTAACATCCGGACAGCCAGCCAAGGCGATTCCAGTCAACTGGGACGACGGTATTTAAAAGTCCCACAATTATAAACTTTTTAAAAAGCGAATTATGTCTCACCTTCGAGTACAAAAATAGAAGAAGACGTAATTGTCTACCGAATGAGGAAAAGAATGAATGTTTTTGTGCATGTTCTCCATGAAATATAATTGAATTTTTAAGGTCATTGAAAATCAATGAGGAAACTTCATGCTACTTAAGTGGTCGTTTTTACGTAATGTAGTTTTTGCATGAAGGCGGAAGGGAGTTCTTTCGAAAGCCGGCATCCTGAGGTAGCTGAAATATTATAGAATTATGTTGCAGGCTGATTAGTTTTACAACCCTACTTAATTAATCTTAGCGAAACGAAAACGCATTTCGGAATTTCGGTTGACATTTCATGAGTTAGCCCATCTACTTTAAATGCGGAGAGCGCGGTAGTATCCGCACTCGAGTAAATATGGAGTAAAAGGCGGTATCCGGATTTACCTCGATACTAGTAGGGAACCGAAGTGATGCGACCGCCTCTCGATTCTGAGCACGTT